GTTAATGTTGCAGATTGCATCATTCCTTAATCTTCTAATTGGATCCGGCTTATTATTTTTTGCAGACTGTTAGAGCAATTTTATTAAAAGTAAGCTTGAACTTTCGATTATGTCAAATAGAATTTCCGATTCTGGAGCTGCCAAAGGATCTACAAAGCGAAAGCATGTTTCGATGTCCTTTAAACAAAAAGTGGAATTGCTGCAAAAAATGGATAAAGGCATGAAGAAAGTGACAGAGAGGCGATTTGTTTCTCTAATCATTCCGAAATCTGTTTATCAATTTGACACTGCTCTGTGAGGGGGGGGATGTCGCAGAGCACAATGAATTGGAAGTTGATCTGCCAGCACTATCCTCATCTTCAGGGCAGATGTTTTTATTTTATTTGGCTTATAATTTCTTACTAAATGTAGTGAGTGAGTGAGTGAGTGCACCGCTATGATGGCTTCCGACCACGGACATGAACCAGTGTTTCATCTCGATGTACTCCAATATGATTTAAATCAATTTCCTCGTCATTATAAATATCACGAATACACATAAAATAGTTTTCGGGTTGCAATTTTCTAATTTCGACGATGCCTAACGTATGCTTTATGCATGCGCACATTAAAAGAAATGTTTAATAAAGTAAACAAATAAATATTAGGTTTTCTTTTTGTAAATTTTGATACCCTTTAGATCACGATTGCTCTTTATTTCATAAATTACAATTTCATATTTTTAATGTATAATTCTGCATGCCATCTTACGAGATTTAAACTGCTGATCTATAATCTGGAAAAATCGATTCCAGAATCGCCGAGTCCCGACGAGTTCGGATAAAGACTTTTGTTTTTTCTCATTTTAATTTGGAAGCTTCTCACATTTTGGCTAGTTTATACCATTTCCTTCTCTTTAAGCATCTTTTCGAACAATATGAGAGATTTGCCTCAATATGCAAACCAATGCTCTCACTAGTTTCTGCGTGTTTATTCTCCTAACTTTTCAACCCTCCACCATGTCTTATGGGGTTTACCTTGATCTGTAAAAGTATATAGTCCAAACCCCCGATAGATGTGAAGAAAATTTCACCATGCCTGAAAGTAATACAATATCAGACAAAGGTTTAAATAACCCTCTATTTAGAAAGAACTTGGAACAAACATAAAGGCATGTTCTGATGCTAACAAGTCAATCACGGTGACGTAATTACAAGACAGTCAAATTCAAACTAAATGTGGACTAGTGGTCAAGATTATACAATTTAATTAATCTGGTTCAGTAACCCTACATATGAAAAAGAATGGAAAATTATAGTAAGGCAGATATCATAAACAATTGGGTAATTTACATAATAATAACTGCACATATCTTTGAAGAATAATATTGTTTATGTATTCAGTGTCTTTCTTCAGCATGGTTCCTTTTCATTTTAGAATTTTTGGATTTAATTAAAGATTTGTATTTTTCTAAAAAACACAATTCATTTAGAATGTATAGAAGAAGTGATTAATTTCTTTAGTAATATGAAATTGAAAAGAAATATGAAATAGTATATATGGTAGAGGACAGTTACACAGCTTGCGTGGCAGAATTTTTAGAATTTAGTGACACACCAAACAACAAAATCTAGAAATGGCAAAACTTTTAGAATTTAGAGCAGGCATTGGAAGCAGAATTTAGAAAGGTACTATGCAGTCGATTTTAGGATCCACAGAGACAGCATCAGATGGGAAAATGCCAAGTGCAAGCTCTGTGTATGATGCATTAAGACATATTACATGAATCTTTTAAATTTCTTTATTAATTAAAAAATCCCTTTCTATAATGTTTGCCCAAGTGATAAGATTAGAAGCATTTTTGATATTTTCCACGCTTGTGTCTAGTGAAAAGTAGAGAAAATAAAGGGAAGATAAACATGTTAAGAAAATGATTCTAGTATAAGGAGTAAAACATTCAAATATTATGTCTTCATTGTTCTTCCAGACGTTCTCCAAAAAGTAAGAAATTCATCGCAAAAATAATCCAAAAAGTAAGAAATTCATCGCAAACTTTCTGTAAAATACATCCATTGTGCATTGATACCATGGAGACATTTTTCATTTTGTCACATATTTTTCGAATCTTCTAGAATCGTGGGTCTACAAGTCTCGCCTTCAAATCCTTCTAAATTTTTCAAGCTGCAATGTCAAAAATACTAAAGAAAAATTATCCAACCAATTCTACAACAGCAAAACGTCAGAAGTATTTTGGAAAAAAAAAAAAAAAAAGAGAGGAGAGAGAAAGTGTAAAATTAATTTTATAGAGAAAACTGACACATATTCTAAGAATTTTGTATATTCTGTGACAATTACATGGGAAAAACACTTACTATGAAAAAATTAAAGACTTTGTAATTAATTACATAGCTAATTTTTCTTTTCCTAAGAGCTGTTTCGTAAATTTTGCTTTACAGCATTATACCTTATTTTTTTTTCAGATTCAAAATATTGTATAAGTTGTCAAAATGAAACTTTATAATATGACAGCGAAAAGTAAAAATGTTTTATTTTAATGTTATTTTTTAAATATAATTCCAATATAGTACCATTATTTTAATGAAATTTATCAGTGTTATGATATTTTAAAAAAAATTGACGAAAAATTCTCAGATTTCGGAATCTAAAATTTTCTATAGAAACTGATCTTAAAATCGCCAAATTTAGAACCGTTTAATAAGAGAATTCACATTCCCAAAAGCTCTTTATTACGAAAAATGAATTTCGAAATTCTTATGTTTCACTTCTTGCTTAGAAACTCGAGTAAACATTGGAAATAGAACAAATTATAACCCATGAACCCATTCAAAAGACAACCATATACGTCAGTGAATCGCCAAAAATATTCCTCCAAAATGCTAATTCACACTCAAAATGGCAGTCGTACGAGGGCTATCCAGAAAGTAGATTACGTTTTGGAATAAAAAAATAAACAAAGTATAGGAAACAAATTTTATTATATACAGATGAAAGCCACACTCAATACGACTTTCTACATGTCACCATACAAAATTAAGGATTTATCGTAGCGATGTACGAGCTTGGAATTCTTCGTCGAAAATTCGGCCGCCGTGCGCCTTCACCACTTCGTTACCCTCTTCTTGCAGCTGTGCGTCGTCATCAAAACGCTGCTAGCCAGCCACTTCTTCATGGGGAATAGTGGAAGTCGCTCGTCCCGGTCGGGACTGTACGGCGGATGGGAAAACACTCCCACTTAAAAGATTCAAGAACTTCGAGTGACATTGCCGTGTGGGGCCGGGCGTTTGTCGTGAATCAACAGATCTTAGCTCACTTCCTCTGCGCTTGTTTTGATTGCTTTCTGAGTTTTGGAGAGTTTGGCAATACCTTTGAGAGTTTATTGTAGTGCCTCTTTCCAGAAGTCCCCAAATTTACACCTTTTCTGTCCAAAAACATCCCCATCTTCCTTGCCGACATGTTTGCATGCATTTCTTGGGTTTTGGGGAGAACTTGTGGCCCCCACTGCATTGATTGCAATTTCGTTTCACAGTCACATGTTCACCCATGTTTCGTCACCAGTAACGATGCGAGCGAGTAAAGAGTCACCATCCTTATGGTAAGCGTTCAAAAGTTCAATGCTGCAGCCATTCGCTGATTTTTGTGGTCCTCTGTCAAGATTTTGGAATCCATCTTGCACAAAACTTGTGGTACCAAGCTTTTCGCTGATGATTTCGTGCAACAAACTTCGCGAAATTGTGGAAAACTCAGAAAGTTCCGTTATTGTGAAATTCGATTTCACGGACTTTAGCATCGACTTTTCGAGAAGTTCGGCGGTCACTATGCTGGGTCTCCACTTCGATCTTCGTCGGGAACATTGGTTCGGCCATTTTGAAATCTATGACCACTGACGCACTCCACCTTCAGTGATAATGTTTCCCATACACTTCACGAAGATGCCGATAGATTTCTATCGGTTTACAGTTTTTTGCAGTCAGACCTTATTACTGAGCGCACCTCGCAGCTCGCGGGATTTTCAATTAACGCAGACATTTCAACCGTCACAGTATCTGCACGAGCACAGCAGAACCTCTCACTAGTACGGCTAGATGCAGACTGAGCTGCGCAACGCTCTGACCCCAAGATGGCCCCGCCCCTAGCGGACACAGACGGAAACGTAATCTACTTCCTGGATGGCCCTCGTAAAAACAGACACAAAATTCAGATGATTAAAATTAAGGACCTTTTAGTCATTTTGGCCAAAATTAAGGACTTTTAAAGACCAAAAATCGATTCCAAAAAATTTACGGACCGTACGAACCCTGTTAAAGGAGGAAAAAGCATTCGGTTCAAGATTCCCTGTCCTTTTTACTGCTACCAAAGCCCCGGCCTCAAAAGGTGAAATTAAAAAATGATGCAAAAAGGAAAATCTTGGCATTCCAAGTACAGACCTAATATACGAATTACATTTTTAAAAGAGGCAGCCACATATTTGATAATGAATATGAATTCTGATATAATTTTTGTTAAATTCAAATTCACTTAGTTAAGTTAAATGGAGAAAAGGTACATGTGAAGTTAAGTCAACAATCCACTGATTTTTTACTTACAAGTAACGAAGTTCAAAATCATTTGTACTACTACAGATTTTAAATGTAACATATCAATTTCTTTTATTTAAAACTTTATATAACTTAGTAAATAAAATCCAAATACTTAGCAATGTCAGTGAACGTTCTGGTTATTACCATGTAAAGAGTACTGAAATTATGTTCATACCCCAGCTTATAACAAAATTTTCTCTACTACTAAATCCTTTCCACCTCACTTTCAATGTTCATAATAATAATAATAACTGAATAATTAGCTGACAAAAAATATGATAAAAGATATAGAAAGATAAAATTATAGAGAGAAAACATCTTTTTTATATTAAAGTAATTACAAAAGCTCTTAATCTAAATCTTGATCCTGAAAAAAGAATTTTTTTGTATAGGTTATAAGTACTAAAAAAAAATAATACATAATTCATATTTCAATCAACCATTGTATTTAAAAGCACAAAAACAAAAATGACAATTTTTATAAAAACATATTTCATAATCCTAAAACATTCTCAATTGTTTAAAAAATGGAACATGTTTAACCACAGCGAAAATTTTAATTATAAAAACAAAATTCAATATAATATATGTTCTCTTACAGATTAGCAATAAAATGTAATAGTGGAGTTTAACTTAAAAGTATCATTACCCTATTGTAAATGCTATATATAATTGCCAAATTTCAGTGTTATTGTTCACCAATTTAAATAAAAAAATGTACACATTCATTAAGTTTGTTTTTAAAAAATGTTCAAAATTATCTAAACCAAATTATATGACATACAAATAAAATTACACTCTTGATTTTAATAAATAAAAAAGAACAGCCATAAACAATGTTTTTATGCAAAACTTACAACTGATAATGTACAATCTCATTGAAGATATTTACAATGATAAGTAAATTTTGTGAAAAAATACACTATAAAGTTCCACTGCCCACTTAATTAAGCAATACTAAGAGATGGCCAAGTAAAATATCTAACCAAAAACAATAAAGGAAATAACAATAGAAATGATCGCATAATAATTTTACAGTATGAGTTTTTAAATGTAAAGGCAATGGATATAATTTACAAATACAAAAGTTTAATATCTTATATCTATACAGCAATAAATAATCACCAGACTGTTGAAAAATATTCAGATGAATGGTAATACGCATAAATGATTATGAAGTTGTGGGAAACTTAACTGCTGTATGGATAAAAATATAATTTCAAGGCCAAAACTGAAGAGCAAACATAACAATTTCAAGAAATAACTTATAATTACTTTAATACATACTTCCTTACCGAGGGGAAGATGTTGACAACTTTAAGATCCAAGTTAAATTTTCTTTCCCTAGTTTACAAAAAAACCGTATGCCAAGTTCTTTATAACTCAAACAAAGAAGTAATTTTCAGTGAATATTGTTTAACAGATTTAATGGTGTCCCAATACACAGCAGAAAATTCTATTTCTTTTTTTTTTCCGGATAATTAATATTTTAAGATATTTTGCATACGTGTGATAAATGATCAGATATTTTTTCTTCTAAATCTCTTTAATTAATTGGACTTTTAAATTTTCAGTAACAAGCCATTTTATGCAAAATATTTGCGAGCAGCTTATATTATGATATTTGTACATAATTTACAGTACTTTTCCTAGCATAATAATTTCTCTATCATACATAACAGAAAAGCCTATTTCATTATAGCTTCTGCATATTAAAAGTACAAAACTGCACATTAAATTCCTCATTCAAAAGGGGTTTTTTCTGGCGAGAATTTTAAAGGGAAAATAAGAATATTTAAAACCTTCTTCACATTGAAAAACATATTTAAAACTATATTTCAATATTTATTGAATACAACATTTAACATATTCTAAATTAATTTTCCTGTTAATTACCAAAATATACTCAAACTAATTTTTAATTAAAAAACTGATTTTTACATTATATGGAAGACTAACAAATTTTCTTCAAGTGTGGAATAAAGTTGTTTATATAATGGAAATATTAAGTATAATAAACTTTCTCGCTCTTTTCCTTTCTGTAGATGTTTTAATGACACCATATTTTAAAACCTTTTTCACAGATCTCAAGATAAATGCAATTCACATGATGAATATTAGAATGGACAATGGGTCACAATGATGTGCCCCACTACAGTAAAATAGGATTTTCTAATCATGACCAAATAAAAAGACCGACTTCACAAGAAAAGTTCGGTAAAAAAACATCTTCATGATCAGTTCATAAAAACTGCAAAAAAGCTTTTGTGAAAAGCATGTGCACGTGTAATTTTGAGAATTTCAAATTGGGGGGGGGGGGGTAAATTATTAATGATCAATTAAGGATCATTTTTTAATTTAATCATTTCCAGCATCAGTTAAAAACAATATTTTAACTTTTTCTACACTTCAGATACTTCATAAATTTTTATTTTGTTATATTTTGATGGTTCAGGCATACATTGTCATACCTAAATTTATAATTTTAAATAATTATTTACATAAATTAATTAAAGCTGAAAATTTTTACATTTTTTATTTACATGGATGTTTTGCAAACATGAAATTTCACAAAAATAAATAAATAGAATACAAATTACTATAAAAAAATCTTCACTTTCAGCTGGTATTATATACACAAATTACAGTCCATCCATGCACATAAAAAATATAACTAGTTATTTTTAACTACAATTTTTTGGACTTCATGTATGCAAGAGCACGCAAATTTGCCAGAAAAAGTTATAAGAGGAAACAAAAAATTAAAGCAATATAGCACATCTGCATGTTTCCATTTATATATGAAATGATAAAATTGATTATAAAATTTAAAAAACCCCATTTCTGAAATATGTAAGTGTTTCAAGTCATAACTGCAATAAAATGCTTAATAATGATGCAAACTCAATGTGTGAAAAATGAAAAAGAATTAAATACAGTGTGCATGGATGCAACAAATTATACAGATAAAATTTTAAAACATTTGTAGGAACAGGATAAACATTAATGTTTTGGCATGCTAACTGAAGCAACTGGAAAGATATTTTTAACAAGTAAATAAATTTAAATGGAATAAACAGGAATTACGATGATTTTTTTTTTTACCAGATTTGGCAAGGAATTCTATGGAAACTTTGCACAATAGAAAATGTTTAGCATTTTTTGAAAAACACACAAATAGTCTACACAAAGTTATAATATACATAGTAGATGGTTTGTAAAACAAATGTCAGCGTTACTTTTCCTATGATGACCAGTGCAGCAACAAATTGGGTGCCCTTTTTTAAATATACCACTCATTTGACAATATGTTACATCTAACACTGTATATCTCACTTATATCACAATAGACAATTCAGTACAGTGAGAGACAAAATATTAGAATTCTTCCTCCTCCACATTAGAAGCATCCTCTGCCAAAACTTTCTTTAAAACGTCCACAACATTGCTTGGAATAAGACACCCAACAATTCTTGATGCTTCATCTATTTTAAGCCGAACTACTTGAAGCTTTGCATTGTGAGAACCATGATGTGCAGACATGATACTCTCAATTTTAGTCCACACAGACAAAACAGATCCACTAAGAACATAGTACTGTCTTTGGCGCAAGCCCACTTCACATAGTACACCCATTGTCTTTCTTCTGCACTGTCCATACCAGTACATATGACTACACAGCTTGGCAGATGCATCATAATTCTCTTTCCAGTGTTCTTCCACTTCCTTTTTGTCAGATTTGTGATATTTTGATTTTAATTCATCTAAAGTTTCTTGTTTGGCTTGGAGGCCAGTATTTGGTCGATACACTCTAAACAACTTTCCTTTGCTCCCTTTTACTCTACCAGTGTCAGCCACAGCTAAAATAGCAGTTTTCCTACTATTTCTAGCCTGTGATGAGAGATAGAACCCTTCATCTTTATCTGTACATTCAGCAAATTTTTCTAAAGCACCTTCCCAACTAAGACCTCTTTCTACTAAAACAGTATGCAATTCTGTTTTAGCTGCACCTGTTGCATGTTTTTGAAGAAATGAATCACATTTTATCCGTTTTACCAAATCACCTCCAGTGCCTAAATCGAGTATGCCCAAATCATAACGACCAGCCTTTTTAGCTTGTGCTATAACAGCATCTAAAGTATCTGTAAAATATTTGAAAAGGCTGTTTTGTAATTCAACAGGAAGACCAAGAATCCTGTTCATGAACTTACTCATATTATTGTAGTCCTTCTCAAGAAGATGGTAACCACTTGCAGGATCTTCTGTTATCATTGCAACACCTACAAGAGCCTTTCTTACATCATAAAAGAAATTTCCTTTGTAATCAGAAGGTGGTGGTACAAGTGGATGCTCATATTCCATTACTGCTCTCATTGCTGTCTCTAATGCAGTTCTTCCATACTTAGTATCAATATTAAATTGGCTTAAGTCTCTACTCTCAGTTGCTCTTCTATCACCATGAGTGAGAGCTCCTAAACTTTCAAGTCTTTTTGCAACAATCGATGCAAATCTTCTCTCACCAGCTAAGTCAGAAATGAGAAATAAATATTCAGGAGCATTTACTTGATTAGATCGATGTGTTCTACCAAACTGCTGAATAGCTTTATCAGCACTCCATGGCAATTCTAAAGTCATGTGAACTCTTCGAGCTTGATTTTTTACTCTTCTATCAGATTGCAAAGATATACCAGAGCTTGCAGCTTCTGAAATTATAGCAATGTGCTTTTCCCCATCCATAAATCTTTGTTTTTCAACCATATTTAATGTTTCTAATGGAGCATCCACTTCTGACCTAGATTCGTATTGTATAGTTCCATCATTGCTAACAACACGACCTTTCCTACCTGTCATCTCGGCAACATTTTCAGGACCTCCTAAATCATCAATGAGTTGATCAAGAGTATTTGGTGGTAAAATTTCCCCAAGTTTTTCGATCTTTTCTAATAAAGAAGCTTTCATAGCTGATGCCTTCTCAACTGCATCAACTGGAGGAAGTGGTTTTGCTGGCTGCTTATGCTTTTTTGATCCATGACCTCCTTTGTTCTTCCGTTTTTTGCCTTTATCTTTCTTGCTTTTTTTCCTATATGCCCATGGCCCATTACTGTCAGACTCATCATCAAATGGATTAAAATCACTTTCTCTTTCAGAATCAGTCTGAGAACCAGCATTAAAGTCATCATCACTTTCAATTCCAGGCGAATCATTGCCTGAAGGCTCAAAATCACTTCCCCCACTAGGAATGTATTCTTCGGAGCTACTTTCATCTGAAAGTTTATATTCTTTGTAACGTTTCACACCTTGCCTTGCACGTCTCAAAGGCTTCCTTTTACCTCCTCCAGATGTAGTAGGCGTTGGTGAAGCTGAACGACTTTGTTGCAAATCAAGTCCTAAAAGACGCATGGTTTTTTTATGATCAGGAGCTGGGAACTGTTTTTCAACCAAAGACTGAAATACTCCCTTAGCTGTCGAAACAAAATCAGTCAATTCTCCCCCTGCTTCCTCGAGTTGTTCTAAAGTTCGTGCTTCACCAGTTGATTGTAATCCAATTACAACACATTTCCCATTTTTGACAGCTTCTCTTGCCAACTGTACAACATGCTTTACTTTAGATGCAATACATAAGTATTTAAAAAACCTCTGATGAGATGCCCAAAACTGACACCACATAGTTTTTTTTGTTCGAGGATCACCTTCCATTAATTCTGCAGCTTCCTGAAATTTTGCTCTTGCTTCAACCCAAAGATTTACAGACTCGTTATACATATCAATAAACTCTTTAGAAAGTGGTATTTCTTCAATTCGGAAAGTCACACCAGCGAAACTTAACTGCCTTGCCATATACAATCCCTTAATTTCATATCCATAGCTACCAATTCCATAGCTCCAACACCTCTTTTTTCTACAACAGATATAAAATCATTGAATTCTTTAAAAGGTGTACCTTCTCCCCACAAACCAAGCCTAGTCATATATGCCATGTTTTTGGGTTCTGATGCACCAGTAGCACTAGCATATACAACACGTGCTTTAGGAAGCTTATTCTGCAATTCTAAAACAGTCAAACCAGTTTTAGTAGGTTTACTGGAACCAGCTGGACATAGATTTTTTGCCTTGTGGCATTCATCAAATACAATACAACCGTCAAAATCATCACCACACCAGTGCAAAAGTTGCTTTAGACGAGTCTTATATTTACCTCCAGACTGACTTTCTCCAATCAATGAAGAATAAGTAGCAAATATAACTCCTTTTTTCACACTACCATTAGCTTTTGATGATATCTTTGCATATTTGAATTTGTTTAAAGAATGAACTTCAATTTTTGATGCTCCAATGTCTTTTAGATCTCTTTCTGAATCATACTTCAAATCATTAGAAACACTGAGCCAAATGGCTCGTTTACGACCCAAGAGATAATTTTCATATATAATTCCAGCTAACGTTCGCCCTTTCCCAACACCAGCTCCATCACCAATTAAGAAACCTGCTCTAGTGCCATCAGGTAAAATAGTTTCATGTTGTTGGCAGGCATATGTAATAGCTTCTAACTGCAAAGCAGAGAGAAGCCCTCTATCTATCACTTCCTCAGGAATGCTAAGCTTATACCATGTATCAGGTGGCTGAACACTGGACAAGGAGCTTGTTTCAACCACAGGATCAGGATGCCTTATGCCAATTTTCAATTTTGAAGGCATGTAATCAGCATATGTCTCAGCACGTCCCAATTCTTCTTCCTCTTCTTCTGGTTCTTCACCTTCAATTCTCTGTGGCATTGCACCCATCATCATAGATCGAAACATAGATTCCCCATTCATATAATATGGATTTATATCTTTTGAAGATAAACCATATGGCATTCCTGAAAAACCATTCATCATTTGTTGCTGCAATGCCATTCCCATAGCAGCATTTGCAAACATTTCAGGTCTCATCATATTTGCAAAATTTTTATCCATGAAAGGAAATCTTGCATAATCCATCATGGCTGCAGGATTAAATGGAAATCCGCCATGCCAATGATTCTGCATCTGTGCCATGTGCATGTAACTATCTGGCTGTGATTGTTTAGGCATATTTCTCATGAAATCTTTTTCAATGAATGCTGCTGGATCATTTTCTGGCTTGATGCCCGACTCATCGAGAGCTGCTGAGAGTAAGTCAGGCGATTCCATGGTTTAAAATGAACAAGAACTTGTGGATTCTAGAAATGAATAAAAATAAAATTACAATTCATTCACATTACATAACAAATTACGGGAAAAAAGTTCCCAACAAATGTTTAAAAATTTTGCAATCCATTGGAAGGGGGGGGGAATAACAAAAACAGAAAAGGTCTTGCAATAAAATAACACCATTTAACTATTTGATGAACATCAACGAGAACTGCCCCCCTTTTCTTTGCACAGTATACATATCAAACGCCGTCGCACAGAGCATTTTATTTGATAAACCATAAGAACTTCGTTTTTTTAAATAAAAGCAACAAATAATTAACTAATGTGGTGAATGATCTAAAGACAGTAAAAGGGCTTCTTAATAATTTAATTTTTTTTTTACTTTTTTTAATTCTTATGCACATTTGTGCTTTATTGTAAATAACAAATGCTATATTTGTAATAATACAACATTAGAATTGTAATTACAAGCATTAGCAATGTAATCTAATGCTATATTTTTAATTCATTAGTATACGTTTATTTGGTATACAGTGGGTAAAAAAAGTATTGATAATTGCCTGCAACTGATCGTATTAGCTAACAAAGGAAATGCTTGACAATTTTAGTGAGACATAATGAACATAGGAGGCAATAAAGACACAAATCTAATGAAACTTTTGTTTTAATATGCCTTTTACACATATACAACAAAAATGTAAATTTGCATGTCAAAAAATATGGGCAAGATCATACAGCAAAATATGGGAATAAAATGTAATACTTTGTATTCATACCTTTTGATCTCTATAACAGGTTCAAATGTATTTGTCATAGAAAAAAACCAAAGTTCTGGTTGTTGAAAAAGTCCTTTTGGGAATTTTTTTGCCATTCTTGCAGAAGTATATGCTTAAGTTCATCTTTACATGAAATTTTACGTTTCCTGACTTCTAGGTCATACTCGTGGCATAAATTTTTAATTGAATTTATGTCAGGCGATTATGGCGGTCTTTAACTGGCGAGGAGTGTTACAGAGTAACCATTGCCAGATGAGGTTCATTATATCTTTAGGGTCATTGTCCTGTTGAAACACAAATGATATTCCTAAGCCAAGTTTTTGAGCATTCAATATGTTATGGCACAATATGTCAATGTATGTGTGTTCTGTCGTAATACCATCAATGAAGCACAGGGTACTAATGTTGTTTGCTGCCATAACAGCTCAAAACTACGACGTTCCCTCCAACATGTTTTACAATCGGTGTTAAATGCTGTTTTTCCAGTTCAGTGTTAGGCCCCACATATAGCCGCCCATCACTATGTTGAAAATGTTGAGCTTTGATACGTCAAACAAAATAACAGTGTTCCAAAATTCTTCTGATAAATTAAAATGAGATTTTGAAAAATCTAATCCCTTTCTCCTGTTTATTTCTGAAATAAAAGTTTTTTTTAGCTGCCCTTCCATAGTAACTTCCTCTATGTCAGACATTCCGTATAGTCTGTACACTAAAAGTTTTATGAGAAGTATTAGCAACATCTTTGGCTAAATGGATGCAATTATTTTAGGGTTTTCCATAACCTCTTTAATAATGCCACAGTTTCCCTTGCAAAAAAATATTCGAGGCCATCCGCTTTTATTTGTATTTTCCGTTGATCCTGTCTTTAAACTTCATTACAACACAATTCCTATAGCACAATAAGTTAACCTCTCATTTCTGAGTGGAATAATCATGCTTTTAACATTAACATCCAACTCTTTCGACTTTTATCACATTATTAGCACAAAAAAAAAAGTTTTGAAGTGGCACTGCAGACTTTATACTATCAGGGTTTCGTATCAGTATAAACATAACAAAATTTGCATATCAGAACTTTGCCAATACTTTTTTGACATGAAAATTTATGTTTTTGTTGTATATTTCGTGTAAAAGGCATGCTAAATAGAAAGTTTCATTCGATTTGTGTGTTTATTACTTCCTGTGTTCGTTATGTCCAGCTAAAATTGTCAAGCATTTCCTTTCTTAGGTAATATGATCAATTATAGGCATTTGCCAATACTTTTTTTACTCACTGCAGGACCACTTATTTTGTAATTTTTGTTTGTTTTACAGTTTTTTTAAATATTTTTCAAATACTTTGAAAATTTTAATGGTAAACTTTTTAGTCATTAGACTGCAAATTAAAGATCTCAGTTTCCAATATTTTTATTTATTTCAAACAGTAATAAACAAGACAGGACACAAGGTGCTCTAGAGGTGATTGTCTAGGCATGACTGGAAGAGTGCATCTTCAGAGACAATTAATATAGGATATAATTTTTATAATATACTTTAAATACAAGAGTTTTTTAAACAATCTCAAATTAAAATCCAATTTACATCTTTAGGAAATAAAAAAAACTTTCCTTCCGGTTCACTGTTTTGGAAGCAACAAACTATGCAAATGGAAAAATAATTTACTATGAAATTTACTAAATTTAAATGTTTTACTTTTAACTGAGCAAATGCTCTGATGGAAAAAATTTAACCCAAACTGCAAGGGATACATTGTTAGCATTTACATTTCAAGTTTTAAGTACTGATTTGTTTTTTAAAAGGCATTAAATTTATATGTGCCACATTTTGATAATAGTAAAAAAATTCACATAAATTAAGAAAATGAATAACATGCCCTACATTTTACCCTACAATTAATTATCAATTTTAACAGCAGTTTGATCACATAAAAAGATTGTTAATTACATATGCTGGGTATGGCAAGAAGTTGTGATATGTGCAGTAAATGGGGGGAAGTTTGGTGTGTATGGATAACTTAAAGAACAGGATGAAAAGGCATGAAAAGTGATTTATCCTTGTATGTAGACTCAGGTTAGATTGTTGCGAGGAATAGTAACCTAAAGTTGATCATACTAATTTATTTCACCATTTGAAGTTTTCTGAAATGTGCAGTGATGTGATTATAAATCAAATTAAATTTTAGTAATATTATCAATGCTATTACATGATATAAATATTTTTTTCAAATGGATAGATAGTATTTATATGTGTCTTACATAGTCAGCTTTTCTTTCTTTTTTTCCTAACTACTAGCTGATTGTACAGCAGCCATCTAAAGTAGTAGTTAAAAAAAAAGGAAAATACAGTTGGGACTTCTCTATTTAAGGGAAAAGTCTATTGGCCTGGGTCTCTTATTAAGGGACATTGAAAAAAGTTTCAAAACTAAGAGTACTAATCTTCGAGGTTTCAAAGTAAGTATTGAGTGAAAGACAGTTTTGTGACAAAGGAATAATAAAATAAAAAGTTAATTCCTCTTGAAGACAGCTTTTCAGTAGGGAAAAGGAGAACAATACATTGGGGAAAAGCAAGATGTGGTCCAATTAAAAGGATATTTCACATTCATATATTTCAAAATCCAGTTTATTTGTGATACAATTCTCAGTAGGACGAGAAAACAGTGTTAGTAAGTCATAAAGCAATCTGACGATAGGTACTAATGAGAAAGAAAAGGCAGTGAGATGACTGGACCACATGCCCGAAAGCACATGGATCTCATAATGTTAACAGAGTGAAAACTTCTATTATTCTTAGTTCTATATTACTTCTTAGTTCTTGCTAGGACTGGGGAGCAAATAAAGTGCAGTTTTGTGCTTGTGTGATGTTTTTACATACCTTATCTAATATGGCTTCAAAGAGAAAAATATTAATATTAAAACAAAAAGTGGATGTAATTCATGCAGCAGAAATTGAAAAGCTTAGTTGAGAGATTTACGGCAGAAATTCAGAATAAGTAAGTAATGTTCTAAAGGATAAAGAAGAAATAAAAGTACAGATAACTAATCCAAATGAACATTTCAAGACTGTACAATTTAGAAAAACTGAAGTATGTGAAATTGATACAATAGTGTTCAAATGGTTTCATTCTGCAAGAGCAAACAATATTTCTGTCAGTGGAATATTACTACAAGAAAGGCAAAAGAAGCTTCAAAAAGGTCTGTGACTACAGAACTTCAAAGCACCAAATAGTTGGCTCAGCAAATTTACGCAAAGACATCACTTTACTTTTAAGACTACTCGTGGTGAAGAAAAATCAGCAGCTATACAACATGTAACAGAATGAATAAAAAAGTTAAAAATGAAATTTGTGAGGGATATAAGGCTAAAACATTTACAGTGAAGATGAAACTGGATTATTTAACTTAAGTCTCAAGGGGACGTCTCAGTGTGATACTTTGCTGTAACATGGAAGAAAAGTTTATGTATCCACTAGAGACTGGAAAAGTAAAAAAAAAAAAAAAAACAAGATGCTTCACACATATCAATCCAAAAGTTTTATCAGTCCATTGGCATCACAATAAAAAGTCATGGATGATGCAAAACATGTCAGAATGGTTGATTGCTCTTCATGAAACATTGTCTAGAAAAATAGGAAGTTATATGTCTTGACAATTTGCCAGCACATCTATCAAACATAAAGATGAAATCGCTGTTTTTCCCACCTAATGCAACAACAGTATTATAGACTAGGGTATAATTAGAAGCTTCAAAGTTCATTACAGAAATCTGTTTTTATGGCATGTCCTTTGTCGAATTGCTTGCAGAAACAGTGACCAGCTCGCAAAATGTGTAAATATACTGAATGCTATTTATTCACTGGATAACAAAGGTTTTAAAACCTATTATCTAATTAAATCTATTTTAAAATCTATAAAAAGTTATGTTCAGCATTATTTTTAGAAAGCAGACTTTGAAGTTCAAGTTTTCAGTACCCTTAAGTGAAAATACTACTGATGAAAATGAATTGTTTGAACTTGTCAAAATCAGCGGCAGCATTCAATTGCAAAAATATTTAGAAATAGATGAAAACGTGCTTACTCGAGACACCAATGATGGCACAAAATCTTTTATTTCAACTATAGCTGATGAGAAGTTTAGTAAAAGTAGCTTGGAAAGCATTGAGGAAGATGAAGAAGAGCCAGATGAAAAATGTGGCAAAGAACTACAGCTTTAAAATACACATCCCAATTGAAACAACTCATAACTGTAAGTGA